AAAAAATGACTGTAACTTCTTAAAGGTATGGACTAAGTCTTATTGCCTTTGTATCTCCAGTGTCTGGCACAGAGTAGGTTGGCAATAAATGCTTGTGTAATGAAAGAAAGAATGAATGAATAACAGTATTAATTTAAATAAACGAATATCCCATGAGTTTAAAACAGTATCCAAACACTGCCAATCAATACCTTGTCCCTCAGCACTGCCATATAAGCAAGTCTAATGAAAACAATTTTCAACATACTGTGGGTTATATGTTAAGGCAGCATTCAACATACATTGAAACAAATATTTCAAATTTGGCAGCAGGGTTATTTGCCAGATAGTATATAATTAAATTTACACATTCACACTTCTATCTTTCATTTTATATCATCCTAACTACTACTAACACACCTAGTATTTTGCCCATACTTCCTGTTTTGTTGTTTAAAATTAAGCATTAGGTAGATTATGATCAAGTAAATGGAATTAATTTCATTTCAGATGTTGTTAACTTATGGTGAAAAAGAAAGATAAAATAACCATAGAAACTTGCTCTAGTGGAGACTGCAGTGAGCCAAGATTGTGCTACTGCACTCCAGCCTGGGTGACAGAGGGAGACTCCATCTCAAAAACGACAACCACAACAACAACAAAACAAACGAACTTGCTCTAGATTGCTGAGTCGTGGATTCCCCACCTTACCAATATAAACTCTTTTCTATGTGGTAGATAGACATTTGGCAGTATTGAGGGTGGATGGTTGAAGAGTATTCACACTTCAGTGCATCCATTTGCATTATCACATTTCAAAGCCTCAAGGCATTATCACTTCCTTTTATTAAGTGGCATAATAATTTGGGAAAATGGTTATGCTTATCATCATCTGTCAGTCAAACAACTCCTGTGTTAACAAAATCTATTTTTTCCACTCCATGAATGGGTGTGTGCATGTGATGTCTTATGTTCATGTCAATATTAGTAGGACTTGGTTTTGTGATGAAACTATTTCACTTATCAGAGGGCATGACTGGGAAATAGGAAAATTCTATTTACACTTTAATGAGCAGAAGACTGTGCTTCACGCCAAAGTCATGTAACCACTATACTTTAAGAGTCGAGTTCATATGAGTATCTGTAAATAACTGAAACACTAGCATATATCATGTTGTAAGATAGATTTCACCATAAGGTTACATCTCCATAAGGAATATCTATATAAATCGAGTGGGGAGGAAATCTCTAAACCTACTGTTGGTTAGTGTTGAAAAGATAGGTCAAAGGCAGATTATTTCATCTGCTGTCCCTCACGTAAAACAATAAACATAGCCTTTAACCTGTACACATAATAAATAAAACTTGAACCTATGATGTCTAATAAAATGAGAGGTCTAAAAAAATCTTACTGACAAAGAACTTTTTTTTTTGCTCCTGTGCTCTCCAAGTGTTCAATTAAGTGGGCCAAAGAAGAAGTAAGAATATTAGAAATATAAAATATTTCAGTCTAAATAAATGTGCATCTAAAGTTCTAATAAACATTTAATATAACCTTAGTGTTTTGATGTTAGAGTTTTGATAATTTGATAACTCAAATAGATGATAAAACAGAATTATTTATTGAATTCAAAATATTTTATTAAATGGCATTACTTTTTAATTTTATTAGAATAAAAAATAAATCACAGGAATCAAACAAACGTTCACCAGGTTTTTGTCAATCATACCAAAGATAGTGAACTCTCAACTAACAATCATGGAAATTTGCTGTGTCACTGCCACTCACTGAATGCCACTTGTGTCAGGCATTATACTAGGTGCCTTAACTACTTTACGGTGTTAAAATCTTTTAACAACCCTATTATGTAAGTATGATTGTGTTCATTTTAAAGATGAGCAAACAAGTTCAGAGAATTTAGAAAACATCTTAAGTTTGTACAATATGTGACAGAGAAACAAATATTTGAGCGAAGCCTACATTCTTTTCATGTTCCAGTTACAACCTCTTGATTTTTTTTCCCAATTCCCATTATTGTTCAAGCCAATTTCAGCTGTGTTTTCTGAAACTTTCATTCAAAAGTTTCCCAACTGATACAACACAGAATTTCATGAAGCCTGTGTAATGTGGTGGTATAAAGAAAGAAAATAAATATTTATTTTTTTGACATTGTACATTTCATAGTTTCTTAATTCTTTCATATAGTAAAGAATATAGAAATTATTTGGGGTACCACACGTTTATTGAAACAAATTCTAGAATTATTCACTGCTAAGAATTATTACTGGGATCAGGACTCCCAGTGTTTGTTTAGAAACAACTAATCTTGTTGTTAGAGATCTTTTAGAATGCTTTTGGTTATATCATTCAAGTATTTCAATTCTTCCTTGAGCTTCTAAAGAGTAAAACTCTCCATTAATATTTTCATTTGTAGTACTGATTATAACTACAAGAATTTCATGTGCTTCTTAGTGGACATCTCTTCATTGTGATAATATTGCACTATAGTAGTTTTTCCTTCCAATTATATTATTATACTTCAAATGTCATTTTCCCATTAGGCGTATAATAAGATATATTTTCATACATTAAAATCTTGTTTATTGATGGATTTTACACAGGATAGTCTCAGGTTTCTAGCCCATTTGTAAGAAGCTCCTATTAAGAAATTCAATGAAGCATGGGAACAATGCACAAGTAATTTATTAACATATCAACAGGCTTTAATTTGCTAACATTTTCCTATCATGCTAGGGTGACAGAATAGAAAGAAGAAATTGCTAAAGCATGGAATATAGTAAAATCTGAAGAAAAGCTATCTACCTTTTAAGTGCTCATGGATTCCACTGTTCACAGCATGAAGAACTACATGCTTGCAAAACGACAGTTTCTAGTCATATTGCCTAATTTATTTAGGCTCCATCTGTTTACCTGTATTATTTACTTGACACTATATAAAATTAGAGGAGCACATGTGAGGCACAAAAGGAAAAGCTCTGCCAAAGGAAATACACATTACACAGGTTAGCATAAAAACCCTGAAGTGGGCTGGGCTGGGCGTGGTGGCTCATACCTGTAATCCCAACACTTTGGGACACAGAGGCGGGTGGATCATGAGGTCAGGAGTTCAAGACCAGCCTGGCCAACATAGTGAAGCCCCGTCTGTACTAAAAATACAAAAAAATTAGCTAGGTGTGGTGGTAGGAGCTTGTAATCTCAGCTACTCAGGAGGCTGAGGCAGAAGAATCGCTTGAACCCAGGAGGTGGAGGCTGCAGTGAGCCGAGATCGCACCACTGCACTCCAGCCTGGGCGACAGAGCGAGACTCCATCTAAAACAAAAAACAAAAAACAAAAAAAGAACCTTGAAATGTTTATATCTTCAGTTACTGTAGAAACAGTGACTTCCTCATTTATTTTAACTCATTTTTTCCTACATGGATAAATGGAAAAAATCTATGATTACCAGCAAATATGTGGTAAATAGATGCCTTCTATAAACCATACTAATCATAATGAGTGCCACATTTTCTTTGGCTGGGCTAGGTTTCAAGAACATTCGAGTCCAAATGTCTTAGCGAGGCTGAGCCTGTACTCCCCAGTGAGGCACAGTCCCCACTAAACCTATCTCGTAAATGCTGGCCTCTCATATTGCTGTTAACTATCTGAGTTTTCATTTTTGCTCTGGGCTGAACTCCCTCCAAGTGGCTGGGAATATGTCTGCTTTATTCACTCCTGTACACTCTTTCACTTGTAGAGTGTTCGACATATAGTACATGTGTGATAAATATTTGTTGACTGAACAACTGAAAGAATGAATAAATAGATGGAGAGAAAAAAGGAGCTTCAGTCTGTAAGTTTCCTTTAAACACAATATCCCAGTTGATTTCGAAGAAAAAGAACTTCCTTCCTTGTTTTAAAAATAATACAATAGACATAATAGTAGTCATCATATGAGGTTTTAATATGCTACCTGATAATCTATACTCTGAATTTGTATCGTATATATATTTTATAATGTCTAAGTAATGATTATTCAATTAATGTTAAATAAAATACATGCAGACAAGATTTTGTCAAAGAGCAAGTTTAACAGTCTAGCTTTCAAAGGCCAGAAAAGGCGCAGGCGCAGGCATGCTGAGCTAAAAACCATCTGTGGGATTCATTTTAAATCGGCGGTAATGGCGTTTCCCTAATTCACAGAGCTTATGCTGCTCTTGTCCATTAGCCCCTTAGACCTGCCCCCCAAAACCAAATGTATACACAAATACCTTTCAACTTTCTGTGGATTGCTAAATCAGACAATCAAGTCTTACAGAAAAGAGAGATACATTCAAAGTCAATGGGCTGAGACTTTACTACGGCTAACACACATGAACTTTAAGGCAAGCCTCTGGCGTAAGCTTAGACTATAGAGCAGCTTTTTGGGCTTAGTTCCCAGTTCTTCACTGAATTTCCAACAGTTCAGTATCACACTGTAGTTTCCTCTGGATAAACGAGGTAAGCTAATAAAAATTTTGCCTTTTATTTCTTATTACCGTTATGCACCATTTTCTTGCCATCTTTTGGACCATATCTTCTCTCTCATATATAGATAGACACTTGATAAACTAAACTGACTTTCTTTTCAGTATTATATTTCCCTACAATGTGTGTATTTTATGGTCAATATAACATGCCTTATCATCTAAGGAATATATCACATAAATGATTTGCCATCATATTTTCTACTAATTTTAGGTTTTAAACCTAGACTTTAAAGCCTAGGATATATGAGAAACCTCTCCTTACATGTGCTATTTCTCAAATACCCATTTCATTTTGCCTATGCTAGTACTAGTTTATCTTCTTGTAGCTTAATTCCTGTGCTAAGAATTGGTAAGATTTAGAAACTGACTGTGTAAGTCAGGATAACCAGTTTCACTTTCTTACAAACATTAACTGGCTATTTATACTCTGACAGAAATACTATTAGACTACAGTCTTACGAAGAAAGCTGACTTCTATATGTTTAAAAGTTACCTTTGATAGATCCCTGAAGTTTCCTGGAAGAGTTAGGTCCAATTCTTCTGATTCATAGTTGGTTAACACCCACGGAAATACTGGATATTGGTTCAGATCATTATATGTCCGTCCTAGTAAAGAAAAACAGAAATAAAAATTTGTATACACAAAATGCTTATGAAATAGTTTCTGTTCTTACAAAGCACCTATTGAATTTCAGAAGAAAAGTAACTTTTTATTTATTGAACCATACCTTTAACTCTGATAACAATGCTTTTCAAGTGAATTCATTCAATTGTTTTAAAACATAACCAGAATTACTATTTATAAGATTGTGATAGAGACTACTGGCTGGTTATTGTAATTGATTCTCCTCTTTCTGTGCTACAGCACATTTCTCAGCCTCCCTTACAAGGAGCTATGGCCACGGGATTTAGTTCTAATCTACAGAATGTGAGCAAAGTCTCTTCAAGGCTTGGCCCACTGAAACTTCCTGCATGTGTGTCTCATCTCTCTTCTGCTGATGTAGATAATATTGCAACCCTGGAAGCAGAGCCTTGTCAGTTAGAGGCCCTGAAGGTAATTATGGAGGAAGGCACCCCAATGACCTGCACATTTGCAGCTTAGGTGACGGTATTCTATTTTATCTTTTAATTATTTTTTATTTTTTTTGAGATGGAGTCTCGCTCTGTCATCTAGGCTGGAGTGCAGTGGCACGATCTTGGCTCACTGCAATCTCTGCCTCCTGGGTTCAAGCGATTCTCCTGCCTCAGCCTCCGGAGTAGCTGGGATTACAGGCACATGCCACCACACCTGGCTAATTTTTGTATTTTTAGTAGAGATGGGGTTTCACCATGTTGGCCAGGCTGGTCTCAAACTCCTGACCTCGTGATCTGCCCGCCTCGGCCTCCCAAAGTGCTGGGATTACAGGCACATGCCACCACACCTGGCTAATTTTTGTATTTTTAGTAGAGATGGGGTTTCACCATGTTGGCCAGGCTGGTCTCAAACTCCTGACCTCGTGATCTGCCCGCCTCAGCCTCCAAAAGTGCTGGGATTACAGGCCTGAGCCACTACGCCCGGCTGTGATGGTATTCTATTATAATGAATATATATCGAGAAATTATATTATGAGTACACAGAATACTATGTTAAACTTATATCAAGAATGAATGCAGAGAATTTGCAAGTGGACAGAAGTACTCTGAAGCTAGGATGAAAAAGTACAGAGGCAGATGTCAATCATACATTTTTTCACTCCTTAAGTTCATAATTTTTTTTTTTATCTTACGTTGTTTCACCTTAGTGAAGAACTGCTGGATCTTAGGGTGAGTATGTCTGTTTATGTTTTGGTAGAATGTCTTAAACACTTCAGGTATGATATTGAGGTACACTGGGAATGTGGAAAGTTTAGGGGAGCAAGCTGTGCCCCCCCTCATAAACTGGAACTGAAAAAACATAGGATCAAGTGAAATTAAAAGAATGGCTATCAAAGAAACAGGATCCTAAGAAAACTTTTGTTGAACAAAATTATTTCTTATAAAAATGTGTTATGATCCAATTATCAGTAATTTTCTAAATTTCCATTAAAATTCACACAAAACAGCTATTTCACTGGTATTTAGTGATATGAATTTCATCCAGTATGCCATGGTTGCACACACCACATGTACTATCACAGTAATATAGATATGCAGGTATTATCTTGTTCATCATCAGGAAATTACATTAAATGATATCTGCTCTTATAGCAGTTGGAAAACATAACTGTGAAATATAAAAAAAAAGAACTACAATCTGAGTAAGAACTAAAATCTGCAATTGTAAGCACCAAACCAAATTAATTAATACATTTAGAAAACATTTTATTGATGACTATTTTATCTGTTTATTATATGAAGCTTTGCATTTTACAACTAAACTGCATATTGCTTTAAGTGTATAAACTGCTGTAAGTATGTAATATAGGTGTGGATAATGGCAGCAGAATACTGCTTCCACTTTGCATTTACTGGGATGAGGTTACAGCTAGGTTAGGGCTTCCCCTGTGTTGCCCCACCACAGTTCTCATACAGACCTCTATTATACCTGATACACATCACCGTTTACTTCTCTGCCTCTCCACCAGTCTGTAAACTCATAAATGTCAGGGCTGGGCTGTTTGTTTGTTTTTGTAATCTCTCTGTGTTGGCACATACCATCTGCCCAATAAATGTTTGTTGATGGAATGGATATGCATGTGATAAAAATGGAATAAAATGATCCAAATTTCAGAAGATGAACAAACGTAAGTCAAGTAAAGGAAAACGGCAGAACATTATCTTTAGAAGATGAGGATTATGCAAAGGCATAGAGGTATATATGAGAGAGAATGATACTGTGAATGTCTACATTAAACTAGAAGAAAATGTCTGCAGCTAGGTAGCTCAAGCAATCGATGAACCTGCTTGTATTTAAGTCTATGGTGAAGAATAATAATGAGATTAAATGAGAGTTTGGAGCCATATTAAAGTCTTTGGTACATGACAATAATCTGCTAAAACAGTACCAATATTGTAAAATAAAAGCTGTACAATTCTAAACTTGAAAATTTATTACTAGTAGTTCATATGTATGCTAACCTAGGACACCTGATTGGGCTCATTTTTTTTTTTATATATGTATATATACGAAGAGTACAGATTGGCTAGACAGAGCTACTTCTGGGATCCTAAATGGGTCCATGGCAGAGTTTAGAGCTCTTCCATTTTCTGAGGGGAATTGTTCTACTTAAAAATCTGGAGATTTTAATGAAAAGCAAGTATTCCAGTGTGTATTTTTTAACAGAATAATGCTGATGCTACCTATCTAGATATAACATATATTACTTAAATAAATTAATTGATAGATGAAAATCAGATACCACAATTGTTAAAATAATTTCTGATGAAGTTTTATAACTTACATATTAAGGAAAACTGTTAAAATAAAAAGCCAATTTACATAAACACAGTATTTAAATGTACTGTATAAATGCAAATAGCATAAAAATATAGACCATATTTGAAGACCCTAGCCTTTTAATAGAAATGATTTTCTAAGAAAGAAAAGGATACTGCTTGAAGGTAGAGGGAAGGAGGAAGGTGAGGATCCAAGAACTACCTATTGGGTACTATGCTTATCGCCTGGATGACAAAGTAATCTGTATATCAAGCACCCGTGACATGTAATTTACCCCATAACAAATCTGCACATGTACCGCCTGAACCTAAAATAAAAGTTAAAAAAAGATATAATGCTATTTTTAGAAAGAAATACAAAGAAGAAAAGCATTATTTAAAAATGCACACACACGTATACATAAAACGAATGATGCCAGTAACCATATTTCATGTCTATTATTCTGTCCTGCATTTTGTTTTTTGCAATTCACTTTAAATAATCTTTGAGTGGTCCTTTGAAAATAAGTGCTAAGAAGAAAATTTTAGTAATTTTTAAATTAGCAGAGGTTTATAGCACTATTTTAATTCTAATAAATATAATAAACTTTATAAATAAATGTGACATTAATGCTTATTTTTAATAACAATTTCTGCATAAGAGCCTATCAAAATGGACAGTCATATATGTATTTGATTTTAATTAAAAATGCACAATGTATTTAATGTTACATGGAAAAAAAAGAGTGACTAAGTGGCACTTTGGGGTTTTGCATTGATATGTTTTAATCATGAATTAGCATTACTCCTTTAATTACTTTACTGAACATCTTTGTGAAATGAAAAAAAAAATACTGTTCATTAAATCATCCAAAAAGTGAGATATTTCCAAAGTAATACTTGTTAGGCTCTGGCATACCTAGATATTTATTTACTAATTGTTTTGTTTTTTCTTTAGGATAGTTGATATTTAGTAAATACACTGGTGCTATAATTGGTAGGGTCCTTTCCTTCTCCAGCAGTGGTAAGTATATATATATATTTGTGTGTGTGTATATATATGTGTATGTATATGTGTATACATATAAATATATATGTACACTTTATTTTGCTAACTATGCTTGTAAGAATTTATCTTAGAAGATGAATATTAAATACTGCAAGCCTATGACACTAATCTACTCAAATAATAAAAGTGAAACACAGTAAATGAGATCTCAGAATCACTGGATATGTTTCTTCATTAAAAAAAACTTTGTAATTAAACCATCCAATTTAATGTTTTTATATGGCACTTTGGTTTTGAAGGTAAAGTGATCTAGAGACAGCTGACAAAGAAATTATAACTGCAATTCCTTGGTGAAAATGTTAATGACAGCAAAATATTGTTTAATTAGATGATTGCAGCATCTGGATTAACACTCTTTAAGAGCGATGTTCCTGTGCTTGTCTGCTTCTTCACACTTTACAGACATTTTGTCATCTCTAGGTCATTAGGAAAGAATTTTTAATGATTTTTCTAGAAGCAAGCAGTTCAAGTTACATCTAATTAGATGACAATAATAAGCCCAACACATGCAGTAGCTAAATATATACATAATTAACCAGGGAGGGCTTGTTCATCACAGAGTAAAAAAGTGGAAAATGCTAAACAGGAGAAAAAGGTTGGGGTTGGAGAAGTCGTGCTGAATTCATTAGTTATCATATGAAAAACAACTCAAAATGCTTAAAAAAAAATTCTCAAGTTTAACAGGGGATCATTTATACAAAGCTACGTTAGCAGTCACTCTCCTATGTTTTAAAATGCAAGAATTACAGGTTTCAACATCTTTTCCATAATATTATCTAAAAAGGTATAAAATAAGGTGTAGGTTGTATTTTTCAGAAAACGAACAGAAATCAGGTCAATCTGGGAACTGAAAGTTGAAACCACATTTTAAGTAGAACTCTAAGTATCATTAAGATTATTTTACATAATCATCTAAAATTTAATGTTCTTTGAAAAAAAATGAAGTGTTTCACAAATAGTTACATAAATTATGCCATATTTCTAAACTGGACTCTCATGTAGTTTTAAAAGTCATGCCTTCAAAGAATATTTAGTGAAATGGAAAAAGCAGAAAGCAAACCTGTATACATTATAGGTTCCCAATGATACACCACACACAGAGAAAGAAAAACAGAAAAATCACCCAAATGTCGACTGTGATATT